GTTACCAGAGCCTTATCCTCGAGTCTAATCGTAGATTCACGCCTGAAGGGTGGTTGGAGTATAACAGGAAGTTCCGTATCAATGCTGCTGCCGACCCATCGCTCAAGTGGGACATCATCGACCCAAACCTGTAGCAGCTGGCGACAACAGGACGCGCTCGGTCCGCCTGCATGGCATGCGGTGCTGCACATCCGCCTTCTGCTAATGGACGCTGTCCTTTTCGTCCCTACCAACAGTTTTCCGGCTTCGCTAGTAACTCCAAGGGCACAGCCTTCCCAGGACAATTAGTCTGCCGCAATTTCAATGCGGGTCGGTGCTTCGGCCCTTGCTCCAGGTCCCACATCTGCCAAATCTGCCGCGGTCTTCACCCAGCTTCCCAATGCAAGGATAACACCACCAGCTCGGAGGCGGGTGGTAAACCCAAGCAATAGGGATGCCAACATCATGCCAGCCTTCGGTGTCCAGCGCGACACTTAGGCCACCATCCACCGCACACTGCATAATACTGTACATTATGTTCATACAGCACGGCACGTTTCCCGTTTTGCGTCCATGCTTGCTTCACATCCCGATCAGCAATTCGTCAATTGTGTATGCAACGGCCTTGCTTACGGTTTCTCTCTCGGCTTTGAGGGCCATCGTAAGACTGTAGGAGCCCCGAATCTCATCTCTTCAGCTCCTCATTCACAACATATTTCGCACTATCTCCAACGTTGCTACAAGGACGGTAGGACAGCTGGTCCATTTACCCCGCCACCATTTAACCCCATGCAGTCATCTGGGCTTGTCATTGTACCGAAGAAAAACGGTCGTCTTCGTGTAATTCACCATTTGTCGGCACCGGAAGGGTCCAGCGTAAATGACGGCATACCAGCGTACAAGTTCAGCTAGAGGTACATCCACGTCGACGATGCAGTTCGTGCCATCATGTCAGTGGGCCGCGGCGCCCTATTGACGAAGCTCAACGTCCGCAACGCGTTCCGGCTCATTCCAATCTCCCCTGATGACTGGCGGCTGTTGGGCATTCATTGGCAGTACCAGTACTATTTCCAGAAGATGTTACCGTTTGGTCTGCATTCTAGCCCGTTCATTTTCAACCAGGTTGCGGAAGCCATTGAGTGGATTTTGCGTCACCAGTTCGCCATTCCGATCATCATGCATTATCTGGACGACTACCTCTCGGTGCCTGCGCCTTCCTTGTCCCTCGCGTCTAAGCAACACTCTATTATTGAAGAAGCCTTTATCTACCTCGGCGTTCCCCTGGCCTTGGAGGAGCTGGAGGGCCCTGTGACGGAGTTGACATTCCTTGGCATCACGTTGAATTCCGACCGGTTCGAAGCTCGGCTACCAGAATGATGATAAGCTAGCAGATATAAAACAACTCGTTCTCGATGCTAGCTCAACTCGCTCCATCCCGCAGCAAAGTTCGTCTCTCTTTTGGGCAAGCTCACTTTTGCTGCGCAGGTTATTGTGCCGGGCCGCACGTTTATGCGCAGGTTATGGGACACCGCTAAGAAGTTCAGCAAGGTACCTCGGCATTACCGCATTACCTTGAGCAGCGACTGTCGTAAGGACCTTCTGTGGTGGCAGGAGTTCTTAGCTAGTTGGAATGGCAAGTCGTTCTTCCTTTACCAAGCCGAGACTTCCAGTACCGACTTAGATCTACTTCAAGTATACACTGATGCTGGTGGCACCCTTGGATGGGGCGCCTATTATGCCAACGAGGGCAGGTGGATGCACAGCCGCTGGGAGCAAGACACCATGGACTTGTCCATTGAGTACAAGGAACTGTTTCCTATTCTCGTCGCGTGTGCCACGTGGGGACACATGTGGTGCAGGCTTCGCATAGCATTCCACTGCGACAGTCATGCCGTGGTTGATTGCTTGGCTTCGGGCACATCAAAGTCTCCACCTGTGGTGGCCCTCGTCCAATTACATTTCGGCCGTTCGTAATCTGCATCTGGAATGTGGCATGGACGATCTTGGACAGGCGCTACCCTGCTACCGCGCGTGCTCAAGGGCATTAAGAGAGTGAAGGGCACTGCTCCGTCCTTGACTCGTCTTCCACTGACAAGTGATCTGATCCGGTCTGTTGTGGACCGGTTGCGGAATGACTCAACTTCTACTTCAGATGATCGTGTAATGCTGCAAGCCGCAATCCTGTTGGCGTTCCACGGCTTCCTGCGGTGCGCTGAGTTTACTGTAAGCGACCACGCACCGTTCGACCTGACATTTGATGCTGCCGGTGCCGATGCTGCCGGTGCCCGCATTACAGTTTGTCATGAAGCGGTCCAAGACGGACCCGTTCGCCAGAGGCATGACCCTATACATCGGGCCAGCAACGCCACAATATTGTCCCGTTGTTGCCATGGTCGACTACTTGTCACGCAGTAAGCCGCCGGTGTTGCAGCCCTTGTTCCGGTTCAAGTCAGGCACACCGCTGACTCGCCGTCGCCTCACTGCCAAACTGAGAGCCCTCCTGCAGTTGTCCGGGGTGAGTAATGTGGCTGATTATAGTGGCCACTCCTTTAGGATTGGTGCGGCGACAACGGCTGCTGCAAACGGTGTTCCTGTGTGGAAAATACGTGCTATGGGTAGGATGCAAAGTGACTGTGTTCTGAGGTACATTTGCACTGATCCGACGGACCTGCTGTCTTTCTATGGCTCTTCACATTGGGCCTATTTAACTGCGTGACGTGCCCTGTATTCACGCGTGTGTTGCATGGACTCTTGGCGATGGCCTCATTAATTCTATATTTCTTGCTGAGTCAATGCACGATCCATTATTGCCTCTACCTTACTTCTTACCTTCCACTCTGGGCGACCTCTCTCTCCCCTGCTGCTTGCACAACTGGGCTCGTGGCTTCTTCGGTGCGGGAATTGCCGGCCATTATGGGCCACGCTCATTTCCGGCTACTCAGGGCCTCGATCGCCGTCCCTCGGACGCAGACTCTTGTAGATACTTGGCTCCGCCAACATTCTGCTCTGGCAGTGTCTATCCGGCCAATCCTGAATCCTCTCTCGTAGATACTTGGCTCCGCCAACAATTCTGCTCCGGCAGTGTCTACGTATTTCTTTCCGTAGCCTCTCACTCCGCTGGCCGGCACTCCCCATACCGCAAGTTGCTGTGTGTTGTAGTTTTAAATGTACTTGGTCCGCTTCAGCAATATTGTCGCTTATCTTTCGACAATTTGAACTGAGACTTTGGACATCAACGCGTGCACTTGAGACGATAGAACTTGGTACGATGGAAGGTAAGGTACAGAATGACAACTGTCCATGAGGAATTTATTGTCCAAGGAAGGGTTCATACTTTTTTGGACCTCCTCATCGCTGCTCTCGGCGCTGGTGACAAATATTTTTTGCTCGTGATCGACACTCTCGCTTTCGCAAGTTCATCTCTCTTCCTCTCCGCTGCCTGGCTATTTTCTAAAGGGAAGTCGACCGTGACCGTCGCCTTCTCTATAGGACTTTGCGTGGGCAGCACGACTGCCTGTGTGGTTCAAATCAGTCGCCGTTCTTTTGAAAGATTTATTTTGAACTACGACGACGGCTACAGTACTTGCAAATCTCCACGACGCGCTGGATACTCCAAGCGTTCAGCTGGAGGTGAGGGAACTGCAATCTCAGATTGGCGAGCGATTCCTGAGGTGAGCGATCTCGGCCGTTTTGCAAAATGGAACTAATTCCGAGTAGCCGGTTACTTTCTTGTGCGTCGCGCTGCTCTTGCCTGCGCAGTGTGACAAGATAATCTATTTTGATGTGGCGCTGTATCCATCAGAATCACTCACCCGTCACTCTCGAAATCCATTCGAAATCTAGCTAGACCTTTCAGGTACTAGTAAACTAACTTACTAACGGAAATTGGGATGAAATGGGCTGCCAAGTGAGCATTGGCGACACAAAAACAAAGCTGAAAGATAAGCAACAATATTGCTGATGCGGACCAAGTAGCATTATGGAGATAATGCAGATTAATGGGTGCACGCAGCTTTGCGCTACCGCTCAATCTATGCTGCAATGTTTGATAGTGCTGTTACTGCATGCCCATGCTTTGCTGCTGGCTATGGTCTCTGTGCGGCTTGGCACTCTTATTGAATGCATCTCTCTACGTGACATTGAACGTGTCTCTCTACGTGGCGTTCATACGTGTCGCTTGTCTCCGATGTGGGCAGTGTGTGGCGGCGTCATGATGACGTTTGCTTGTAGCGCTCAACGGGGGTGGCATGCATCGTTGCATGTCTTGCTAGAGTTTGCTCTGTTATAATAATATATATATTTCGATCCGTTCTGTGCGATGATCATTCTTGCTTGCACGTCGTGTTTCACCCTCCCACCTCCCATTTCTCATCACTAATTTGCTTTGATAAAGTGAATACACGGGGTGTTGGCCATGCTCATTTCCGGCTACTCAGGGCCTCGGTCGCCGTCCCTCGGACGCAGACTCTTGTAGATACTTGGCTCCGCCAACATTCTGCTCCGGCAGTGTCTATCCGGCCGACCCTGAATCCTCTCTCGTAGATATTTGGCTCCGCCAACATTCTGCTCCTGCAGTGTCTACGTATTTCTTTCCGTAGCCTCTCACTCCACTGGCCGGCACTCCCCCGTAACGCAAGTTGCTGTGTGTTGTAGTGAATATGCGTGTGCGTGTGCGTGCGTGTGCGTGCATGTACGTGCGAGCATGCAATCGTCTGTGTGTTTGTGTGTTGTCTGTGTTGGTTTGTGTGTTTGTGTGTACGTGTGTTTGAACATGCTACCATGTGTGTATCTTTATCTGTGTGTTTTGTTTGTTTGTGTGTTGTGTGTGTATGTGTGTGTTATGTGTGTGTTATGTGTGTGTATGTATCTGTATATGTGTGTGTGTTTGTGTGTGTGTGTGTGTGTGTGTGTGTGTGTGTGTGTGAGAGAGTGAGCATGTCAGCGTGGGTGTGTGCATGCTTGTACGTACGTATCTGTGTGCTTGTTTGTGCGTGCGTGCGCATTTGTGCTTGCATGCTCAGACTCTTCTGATTCTGGCAGCTTGCTACTATGGCAGCATTCATTGTGTCCAGTTTTTACTCTGGTGTGATCCGTCGCTGTTGCACGGCAAAGTTATGTTCAATCGCCTTAGTCAGCCACGAGCGGTGAGTACTGGCGTGAAACTGTTTGTTCTGATCACTGGTTAGTTTATTCTCATAAACTGAGCACGTGCTCATCCAGCGTCACTTCGCTGTCAAGGATATTCCTAGAAAATTGAATGTTCCTCTTTTTGTAAATGTGGTGAACATTGCGCCTCAAAGCCATAATAGAGTAAAACCTGTAACTAAAGACCACCGTGACTAACAGCCAGCCTGCTGCTACAGACCACTTCGCCAGGCACGGACGGTCTCATATACAAAAATGCACTGTGACAAGCGACAACCTGGTGAACGCATCCAGCGACCGCCTTTTCTTGTCCCAAAGTCGATTTTGACCAGTAACTAGCGACAGCAGTGCAGGAAATAAAAGGTTGTTCGAAGCTCCTTCTTCGAAATGTTGATGATTTTCTGTCCTGAATGGACTCTTTCGATACTACAGCTGCATTAATGAATGCAATCTCGTTTTGACTATGGGCTGCACTGCACCTGTCATAGTTTCAAGTGCTCTCATGAGCAAACATTATAGGAAACGTCATGGAGAGTAATTGCTCGAACCTGCTCTATGAGCGATGCTACTGCTCAAAGGAGAAATGGCATTGCGCAAGTGGTGGGAATTTTCATTAGCTGCATTTTGACATCCATATCAGACATGGAATTATGGTCGCGCGGTTCAAACCTGTAACTTAAGACCACTTGCCACTAAAGGCCATTTCTTCTGGCACCAAGGGGTAGTCGTTAGTTGAAGGTTTTACTGTACACACGGTTTACTTTAGTTGAGCTACTTTGTCTGGCTTGTTCAAATGTGCACTTCACTTCAAAACTCAATCATTTGTACAAATGAGCACCAGAACTACTTCACCAACCACGTCGCCACCATCATGACAAAGTTTCGTCAACGAGCGGTCCTGCTGATCCACATGATCAAGCGTATCACCCCAACCGTAGCCAGCCGCTTGTACACTGGATATGTTCGACCTGTGGTTGAATACGCCTCATCCCTCTGGCAATTGAAAGTCTCCAGTGCTCAGGCTACTACCCTTGAACGGCTACAGGCAAGAGTGGCACGTGTGATCCTGCGGCAGTATGGCGTGTACCCTGCTCAAACGGAGGCGAAAGCCTCACCTTTTGCGCACCTCCAGTGGCCCAGCCTCGCAAGGCGAAGACACATTCAGTGCCTTCTTGAGCTCCACTGTTATCTAAACCGTTATCTAAACCTTCCCAGGCACTCAGTCATGCACCCCGTGCACACCGTCACACAAAAGATCACAGCCGTTTCAGATAAGGAACAAATTATGCATGGTTGAAAGGAGAGAGAAAATGAGAGAGCAACGAGAGAGAACTGGCTGCGCCAAGAAGAGCGAATGCAAAACCGTTGTCCCTGGCAAAACGTGCACGTACAAGTGCAGCACAAACGAGACCAGCGTACTACACGCAACAAATAAGGGTAGTGGGACGCAAGCTAAAACGATACCAGTCTCCCTAGAAAGGTGCGCTGCTGCGCACAGCCCGCGTATCCATGGAAAACATGGTGCAAAACAAATGCAGAAATGCAGAAGCAAAATAAATAAATAAATCAGAAATTCGAACGACAAACAGTAGTGAGCAGGACGAAGACAGAAAGATCAAAGATGAGGAAAGAAAAGTGTTTGATCTGTCAGTGGGTGCTTGCACCCGATACGGGGTGACAGTAAACCCTGTCAGATAGTGACACATCGTAGAGTTATTCTGCAGAGGGACTTCACTGAGCAAGAATATAACCAACCACGTAAGTAACTCTAGAAAAATCGTGAATAATAATTGTAAATGCATACACAATGTTATCATAAGTATTCGAACACCATAGTTCCCTTTCACTCCTCCACCTGATAACATTGGATGGGGGATACATGTAATGATACACAGCAGGGAAGACAGATGCCTAGCGATAGCGAGCAGGGGGCTGCAGAGAACCACGGGGACGTAATGAATGACCACCAACCAGATGATCAGATGGGGGGGGGGGGGGATGTCCAAGCAAACCCAACCATCATCATCACCATCATCACGAGGACCATCAACGCGAACATCGCCAACATCAGGCGGGGGCACTAGAGGAGCACACGGCACATCAGGAACAACCAAACCAACATCACGCTTCAAGAGCTCGACATTGACCACCTTTTCCTGAGGACGACCTGACTCAGGATGCACACGGCAAATCACAACACTGGCAGGACCAATAACATGTTTAACTGACCAACCAGAATCGAACGGGGGCTGACGTTTCTGGCGACGATCAGGGTTACGCAATAGAACACGATCACCAACAACATACGGACAAGAAGGCGACTCAACAACAGGCGCAGGGGCGTGCTCTGCAACAACCGCCGTCAAATAGTCGTGAACCCGAGCAGCCTTATCACACACACCATCAACCCAAAGAGAGGATGAAAGAGTAGATGGTATACCGTCCACGAATAGAGCACGAGGCTCCCAGCCAAACATAGCACGCATGGGAGAAATCTTCAATTCACTATGCGGACGAGTACGGTAGAAGAAGAGGAGAATCTCTAGCTCGGCTAGCCAATCGGCAGCAGTATACAACACCTTGCGAATAAGAGTGAGAATAGTACGATTGAATCTCTCGGCGCCACCCTGTGACTGAGGGTGACGGACCGCACCAGTACGAACGCAAACACCAAACGCATCCAACAAAGAAGACACAATAGCATTGCGGAACTCATGACCATTGTCGCAACGCACCACACGCGGCGGACCAAACTTCAAACAGAGACGCAGAAATTCCTCAGCAACAGAGCGACCATCATGACGCCGCAAGGGTACCACCTCGACCCAACGGGAAAACATATCGACAACCACTAACACACAATGGTACTGACCGGTCTGGTTGACACCGAGCTCCAGTGTATCGATCTGGACAATGTCCCACGGCTTGACAGGAACGTCATTCTGAACAGCAGGAGCAGGTGGACCACTGCGGGGATTGGCAGCCTGGCAGGCCTGACAATTACGCACATAGGCCTGGCATAGCGAAGACATACCTGGAAAGAAACAAGACTGACACAGAGAACGCCACATAGTTTCCCAATTGCCATGACCTGTATTGGCATGAGCAGCAGTAATCAAAGCGGGAACGGTGGATTGCGGTGCAACAGGAACCAGTACCTCACCGTCGACGGGGTCACGCCAAGTGCGACACAATAGACCATCAATAACACACAACTGCTTACGAAACTTGCAGAACGACGGATCAGAAACAGAGACGTCACGAGACAAATCGCGAATAACGCTCTGGATAGCATCATCAGTAGCTTGACCAGACTTCAACACGTCAAACTCCAATGAATGTGAAAGTGTAGAAGAGGGGCAGAAGCAGCGACATCAGCAGAAGAACACAACTTCTTAGCATGAGCAACCCACGGCTGCGGAACACGAGTCAGTACATCAGCATGATTCTCAGCACTTGGCACCCATTGCACTGTGACCGAAATACCGGATGCCTCAATCAAATCTGTAAAGATCTGCAGACGACGTTGAACCAAAACATGTTGCAAACCACTAACTCGCACCCATTCAGTATTGCGCAACACAGCCTGGAGCCAACCAAAGACAGTCTTAGAGTCTGTCTTGAGCACAACAGAAGAGACATTCCAATCAATAGCCAGCTCGAGGCCTTTCAAGGCAGCATTCAACTCAGCAAGATTGATATGACGCCGGTCGTCCTTTGGCCGGAGCCAAGAACGATCTTCCAGAACAGAACCATCACACTCCAAAACAACACCAATAACAACATCAGAGGCATCGCAATGAACAACAAAACCAGAACCAGTAGAGGAAGAATGCCACGTACCATGAGCAGGATCCTCTCGCACACAGCGATCGGACAGTTCCTGGAGGAACCGCTGTACTTCAGGAGAGACAGGCTGATCCCATGCGGACTGGCCAGACACGAGGGGCTTCAAGAAGCTGCAGGCCGGACAAAGCCAACAGCAGACGGGATAATGGCTGAGCGCCCGACCGCACCAACTGAAGAGTTCCCGCTTCGTAGTCGTGGGTGGAACAGACAGATCAACACCCTGACGACGGGTCTACAAGACTTCACCCGTGCATGGCGCTAGAATGGAGCTGCAAGCCCAGAACACGGGCATCAGGCAATGGCTCTGCAGGCTTGCTCTCAAAACCAAACGCAGCAAGCTGAGAGGACACTTCGGCAGCACGGTCACGCGGCACGTGGATATCATCCACGTAGTTGTCGGCATCGACCACGTCACGCAAGACCCACTTCACTCTGATGACTAGGAACTTGGGGGCAATGGATAGACCGAACGCCATCCGTTCTTTCACGTAACGCTGGCCGTCGACGAGGACAACCTGGTATGGCAGCAATGATGGTGCGACATGGACCTGTAAGTAGGCCTTGCGAATGTCCAGGAGAACTTACTCAGATGCAGGTCCAGTCTGCCGCCACTTCCGTAATTTCTCACCACAGGCAGGTGCTTCTGAGCCAGGATGTGAGATGATGCAGGCATTCAGCCTGCGATAGTCCAAGCACGGGCGAACTGGAGTGGACGACTTGTGCTCCTGGACTTGAGCAAAAAAAGGCAGCACACACTTGGGCTGGTCATGTTGGTCCACATCATACAGCTGCAGCCAGCCGTTGTCAATCCAAGTCCGGACCTCCTGCTGGAACAGGGTCTCCTGCTCATCAGTCAGTTTCGAGCGAGAGTACTCGCCTATGCCACAGCCAACGGGCGACTGAGGCTCGCTCCCACTTTGCCATTTCCAGGTCAGCTCCCATCTCTTACGAGCAGCGTCCCAGCACACTTGGCCATCATCCGTTGCTAGGGTGACATTACCCTCGTCATCTCTGGTAACTGTCACATGCCCATATGGATGGTCATGGGTCGACCTCTCGGGTGGAGCTGCAACTGGGTCAACGGTCTGCGGTTTCGTGCCAAACGTCACACCAGTGAGCACGCCATGATCATACTGGACGTCAACACCGC